CAGGAAACGATTAAAGACAGTTTTGGGGCTGAGAGATTTATAGTATATAATAAAGACATAATGAGTATTTATATATTTAATTTATTTTTTTATTTTTTTTATTCCAGTCTACAAATCCTACTTTAAAAAAAAAAATCTGTTTCCAACACCAAAAGTAAAATTGATAATTTTATTTGGTTTTCGATTTTCGGTTCTGAGAAAATTCAGACTAAACCGAACACAAAAAGTAAAATTATCCAAGGGATCTAAACCGGATCAAACCCAAATTTCTTGAGCTAAACCAAAAGTTGCGTTAAAACTTCCAGCCCAATTTTAGTTGGATTGCGAAGAAAATGGCCTCTTTAGCCCAATAAACGGAAGTGGGCTTTTGTGGTAAGGGAAATAATATTTTGAAGTTTTTTTCTCTCGATTATACTGGAAATTAATATTTCTTCAAATTTTTTTTTTATATAAACCGTGAGAATTCCGAACCTTTGATTCATAATTTCCTCAGTATCCGAAAATATTTTTTGGATATTCCGATTTAAAGAATAACTCAACTCTCCATCCTAAAAGAAGTTTGAACCTGATTCTTATCTCAAGTTGCCTAGGAAACTTTCTCCTCTACTCAAACATCTAGAGACACTCATTTGGGTCATGCACTGTTTTAGCATCCATAACCCACCTTTCTTAGAAATTGACTGTCAGAACATGGTAAGAATGATTGGGAGATCAGAAAAGTGGCCAAATTTATATATCCACAGAGCTGAAAGAGTTTTCTCGTCTACAAAAGATGTTTTCGGACTTCTCGATCTCACACACCTCGAGCTTCCATGCTACCAGCGGACTATCTTGCCGGACTAGATAGATCGTGTCTCTTTATAGTTCATTTTATGGGTTTTCCATTTATAGATACATCAATTCAAATTACGAAAACATTTGTCTTTTTTTTCGCCGGGATAACAAATTTAGAAATCGACTTGTTTCATGTTTTTTTTCCTTTTTTTTTTAATATGAAGATTAACTTGTTTCATGTTTGTGGATAAGATTATGCTCAGTAGGTTTTGCACTAGCTAGGTACGTTTAGGAAACATAATTCTAGTCTACTTTGTCTCTAATCATAAGTAATATGATCTAGTCACGAAAATTACGTAAAATACATCTTTCAAGTAATCAAACACGCAAATGCGATTCAGAGCTATTTCTAGAGCTATTTGATTTAATAGTGCGCTTAAAAAATATATGATTTTACGTTTGTGAATATGTCACAATATTGTCTGTTGAAGTTCGATATGAAAATTTTTATTAAGAGAAAATATTTTTGACTAAAATATAGTTCATCTTTTAGCAAAAAAAAAAAGATAAATAAAAAGG